AGGTCGTCCGGCTGTTTGGCAAGGGCGCGGTCGCGGTCGCGTGCGGCCACACCTACACGGCCGCGGTGCTGCGCGACGGGGGGCTGTACACCTGGGGCACGGGCCTGGGCGGCCAGCTCGGCCTGGGGGAGCAGTCGGGACCCACTCAGGTGCGCGGCATTGGGGGCTTTGGCTGGCTCCCGTGGCTCCATAGTTCAGCGTCATTGCAGCTCTTGCTCTGCGCTGTTTTCTTTGTCCGATATGGTCATCTGCTGTTGTGCCGTCCGTCCCTGCCGCACCGTTGGTGTTGGTCCATGCCGGACCATCCCTGTCTCCGCCCCGCCTGGACCCCTCCTCAACCCCGCAGCTCTGGCCGGCGCGCGTGCACCTCAGCCGGCCCCCCTGCCCCCAAGAGCGCGTCGAGTCCGTGGCGTGCGGCCCCTACCACCTGGCAGCAATCAGCAGCGCGGGCGTGCTGTACACCTGGGGGGATGGCCTGTTTGGCAAGCTCGGCCACGGCAGCCACGACAGCTGCGCTGCGCCGCGCGCGGTGGACGCGCTGCGGGGCAGCCGAGTCGTTGGCGTGTCCTGCGGCTGGTGGCACACCGCCGCGGTGGCCGTCCCGCGCGGCGGCGGCGGCGTGGCCGTGCGGCAGCGGCGCCGGACGGCCGGCGGCAGCAGGGCCGGGGCCGGCAGCAGCGGGAGCGACGCGGACGCGTCCGACAGCAGCGCCGCCGGCGACGGCGGTCCGCGGGGCGGCGGCGGCGGCGACTGGGGTGGCGGCGGCGGCGGCTGCGTGGGCGGCGCCCTGTTCACCTGGGGCGGCGACTTCACCTGGCAGCTGCGCGGCAAGCGCGACCACCACCACGGCTGCCTCGGCCATGGCGACCTGGCGGGGCGGCTGGTGCCGACGCAGGTCCTAGGGGAGGATGACGTGAGGCAGGTGCGGCCCGCCAGGTGCTCCGTTGATCTGGTGATCTGGTGGCCGAACGGCCTTGGTTGTTGGGTCAACCCTGTGTTTGTCGCGGCGGTGGTCGCATGCGCAGCGGCGGCGGCGAGGCCCGTGCGCTTGCAGGGGGAAGGGCGCCCCTTCCGCGACCGCGGCTCCGGGACCAACCACAACCCGGACCAAGCACACGGGATGGCCTCGCCTTGCCCCCGTCCCTGGCCCCCGCCACCGTGCCCCGTCACCCCCAAACCTTGTCCATCCCTGCGGGCCCCCGCCCAGGTGGTGTGCGGCCGCAACTTCACGGTGGCCCTCAACGGCATTGGCCAGGTCCTGCAGATGGGCTCCACGGGCGCAGTCAACCCGCGGGAGCACCAGGCGCTCTGGGAGGGCGCCCGCATGCCCGTGATCGTCGGGGGGCCGCTGGCAGGTGCGCGCGGGGCCGCTGCCGCGGAGGAGCGGAGGGAACCGTGGACGGCCTCCAAATATCGCCTCGTGAAGCTTGCGATGCGCCGGGGCAGCAGGGGGGTGGGATATTGGGG